CGATGGATTTGCACGAAAGTCGATACTCTGGTGGTTTTTGGCTCGAAAAAAATTGAATCTTTCATTAGATTTTTGAAATACTAAACACTTTAACAATGGCGGCGGAAAAATCGGTGTTATGGCCGGTGATATGTATTTCCCGTAATTTTTTTGCCGCCCTTTTAAAGTTTTTTGAAAAAACAAGCCACACTGTCCAAACCGAATGTAAATCGGACAATTTTTCAGTGATTGGCAGAGGTTGAAACAATTTTTTCATGCTCTTTTCAAAAATTCCCCACGCCCGATGGAATTGCCGTCTCAAACCAAACTCTCCGCAAAAAAAATTCTTAAACATTGCACTTTCGATAAAAAATAAAATCTGCTGTACTCGAAATCTGGAGCACGCGGAGCCCTTTTTTGCGACATTAAAATTAGTTTTACCGAACATTTCCGAGGGGCGCTCATTGGTAGGAAGTAGTAAGTTTTAGACATGAATTATTATTTTTTTCCTCTGCAGCATAAGAAACCGTGTCCATGAAGAAACAGCTAAGTAGAAAAACAACGCACCGCGGAAAAACAGCGTTCTCAGAGGTATCACGGTCCAGCTCAAATCATTGAAACCCACACCGAAAAAGCTAATCCATTTGTTTTTCTACTTAGCTGTTTCTTCATGGACACGGTTTCTACTGCTTCAGAAAAAAGAATAAAAATTCTTGTCTAAAACTTACTACCCCCTTCCGATGAGCACCCCTCGGAAATGTTCCGTAAAACGAATATTAATGTCACAAAGAAGGGCTGCGCGTGCTCCATATTTCGAGTACGGCAGATTTTTTTGATAAGGGTTTAGACGGCAGCCTGCTGTGTGAGCCCAAGTAAACCTAACCTATATCAACTTCAAAACGTTATGGGTCCCTAACACTGGTTAGCCATTCTAGGGGTGTAGTTCGTTGTAGAAGTGTCAGTCCTTTTCAAAATGGCGGCTTAGAGCGGGAAGTGGATATTTAGGTTGCTTATCGTCGGATTTGTATGAGACTTGGTATCCGGGGGTATTTCGGCACGAGAAAAACGAATCATTCATTGGATCCTTAAATTTTTTAAAAACTTTAAAATGGCGGCGAAAAAATGACCGAAAATCCATATCACGGATGTTCACCAATGGATTTTGCACAAAAGTCAATACTCAGGTGCTTTTGGCTCGAAAAAAATGAATCTTTCATTAGATTTTTGAAACACTGAATATCGTCAAAATGGTGGCGAAAAAATAACGGAAAATCCGCACCCACCATCGCCATTCGCATTTTTTCCGCCATTTTGAAGTTTTTAAAAAATTCAAAAATCCAATGAAAGATTCGTTCTTCTCGTGCCGAAATACCCTCGGATACCAAGTCTCATACAAATCCAACGATAAGCTGCCCAAATATCCACTTCCCGCTCTAAGCCTCCATTTTAACCGCCGCCATTTTGAAAAGGACTGACATTTCTGGAAAACTAATGCCAGAATCGTTTTTCTCGTCCCGAAAAACCCGAGAGATTCTGAGTTTCAGACCAATCCGCCGATAAAAAACGGAGATTCCAAATTGCCGCCATTTTGAACTAAATGACATATGATACTATATGAATATGAACTATTTTGACCCTAAGCGACCGCACCGGCGCACCGATATAAGACTTCTTGGTGTAATAAATAAAGTGACTCCCTGCTCTTAAATATTTCGTAAAGTTACTATTTTACCCTATGCTGTATTTTCGTTTTATTTTTTTTAAAATTATTATTATTATTATTTTTTTTTAAGGACCCCGCACACTTCTCATGGGAAGCTGCACCATGAAGGATTGCCTTCTGACTTACGTCATTCGATTCTCCTCAAGATGCTGATCAAAAGTTATAATTGCGCCATCTTTCTACGATGCACCGTTTTCGCAAAAAAACCTATGAGAAGATTCAATTATTCGGTGATTTAATGCCAGAAAGATTCCTCATTTCAGTGCTCAATTGACAAGCGGCTGTGTGTCAACAAGGAAATCATAGGGACTCCCGCATAGGGTGGATCGAATTTTCGACTTTGAGAAAGGAAACGCGTATCTTCGAGAAAAAGTTGTCAAATGGGCCCCATACATATAAAGTACCCAAAATTTCGCCGATTTATTGAAGCCTTTAACAATTTTTACGTATCTCGCGTGAAATCGAAGTAGCACTAATTTTGTGAACAAGTCGGCAAAGCCATTCCGTTCTTGATAAATAAGCACTGAAAAGAGCTGTTTAGGAGAGACAGAAAGATCGAGATACAAGTCACTTCACTTCGAGTCACAGGAGCGAGATCGTAACGATAAGAAACTTGAGCGACAACTGATCACATTAGGTCAGCACTACAACTCCGAGGGTCGTGGATCGTCACTCATCTTATCTAACTTTCAAAGATTCTCCATAGCTGAAATCTCCCAAACACGGGATTTGCCAATGAGATTACGGCTGCATAGACACCGACCGGTACCGGCACCTTGCCGCCGCACGTCGCGCGTCGCGTCGGGTTTCCCTGGACCGACCGGCCTGCCCCAAACGGTCAAAGCGGGCACCACTTGGACGCAGCGCGACGAGCCGCGCGGTGCATCGCTCGAACGCCCTCTCCGCATGTTTGTGGGTCAGCGGTTAGAAATACGCCAAAACGGACGAAATTTCGGCCCTTAGGGTCGTAATTCGGCAAAATCTGTAAGGATAGAGTAGTCACACTTATTTTTACGACATTACTGTAGATGGGCCATTCTGGAGGACGCTACCGCCTAATTATCGGGTGAGAACAGGCCAATTGTGCTTTACTCGTGCACGATACGTCAAAACGGACGAAATTTACGTCGTTTAGGGCAACAATTTGACAAAATCTGTAAGGAAACATGTTTTTGAACCTTTAATATAATATATTAAAAATTTAGACCTTTTAGGCCTTCATGCGGTACCCAGGGGGCTCATTTGACAACTTTTTCTCGAAGATACGCGTTTCCTTTTTCAAAGTCGAAAAATTCGATCCACCCTACTCCCGCACCGAGCGGCAGTCTTATCTCGGATTCCGCACGCCGTTTTGCTCGACCACCATCCAAATCAGATTCTTGAGGAGCATAAGAACAGGAAAGTCTGAACGTCTACCGGGCGAGTGCGGGAGGGAGATAGCCCCTGAGTCGGCAGGTACAGATAAGAAGACGGACACGCGCTACGTTTTTTCCTCATTCACATCGGGCCTGTTCTCAAATGCTTTGTTCTCTTTTATTCATAGTCGCCGAATAATTGAATCTTCTCATGGGTTTTTTGCGAAAACGGTGCATCATAGAAAGTTGGCGCAATTATAACTGTTGATCAGCATCATGAGGAGAATCGAATGACATAAGTCAGGAGGCAATCCTTCATGGTACAGCTTCCCATAAGAGGTGTGCGGGGTCCTTTTCAATTTACGAATTTTTTCTGGTCCGGCAAAACTAGTTTTGCCTGGTCGTGTTCAGGCAAAATTGATAGCGCTCCGGCGGAACTAGTTTTGCCTACTTTGTGCAGGCAAAGCTAGATTCCTCGGAAAAATACATTTTTGCGTAGGCTAAACTAGTGTTGCCTGGAATCGGGGTTTTCCGCTAACATACGTAGGGTGTACAAAAAGTTTTGCACACTTCCGGATTTTGAGCGGATGAAAGCAGCTATCAATTTGCGGTTTACGTGTGCTTAAAGTAGACGTAATTACCAATAAAACAAGACCAAGAACAACTCTCTAGCTTAAAAAATGACAGAGATACAGGGTTTTGAAAATGACATGGAGCGAGACCGCCTCCAGGATTTTTAGCTACAAAATTGTTTATCAACGGAAAAAGTTAAATGAGAATTGTGTGTTTTTATTGAAAAAACTTACAAAATCTTACGGAAATTGACGAACTTCAAGTTTCTTCATCGGATGACACGGATGACTCAACATTCGGCTGTTTTTCGAAGTATTTTCCACCATTTTGAACACAAAGCTTCAGCCGTTCTGCCCACTTCACAAGGATCGTCTTTTTGAAGTCCTCTTGACGGAGGGTTTTGAAGCATTTTTGAACAGCGGTTTTGATCTAGGCTATGGAATCAAACCGTGTGCCTCTCAGAAATGTCTTTAACTCAGGAAAGAGCCATTCCAAAGCCTAGATCAAAACCGCTGTTCAAAAATGCTTCAAAACCCTCCGTCAAGAGGACTTCGAAAAGACGATCCTTGTGAAGTGGGCAGAACGGCTGAAGCTTTGTGTTCAAAATGGTGGAAAATACTTCGAAAAGCAGCCGAATGTTGAGTCATCCGTGTCATCCGATGAAGAAACTTGAAGTTCGTCAATTTCCGTAAGATTTTGTAAGTTTTTTCAATAAAAACACTCAATTCTCATTTAACTTTTTCCGTTGATAAACAATTTTGTAGCTAAAAATCCTGGAGGCGGTCTCGCTCCATGTCATTTTCAAAACCCTGTATCTCTGTCATTTTTTAAGCTAGAGAGTTGTTCTTGGTCTTGTTTTATTGGTAATTACGTCTACTTTAAGCACACGTAAACTGCAAATTGATAGCTACTTCCGTCCGCTCAAAATCCGGAAGTGTGCAAAACTTTTTGAACACCCTATGTATATAGTAGTGCGAGGTCGGGCCATCAGTTTGCAGAAACTAGATTGTCTAACTTGGGGGATCCAATCCTCTAAACCTATTCCACTATATTCCTCAGCATCCGAATTGGCAGGTCAAATTCGGATTAAAATTATGAACTCATAAATTAGCAGACTGCAGCCAAGCTCTACTGCCTAGTAGCTGGTACCTGAAAGCATCCCTAAAATGGGAGGCTGTGGTCTGATGTCTTGTTAATCTGTTTATTTCAATCCAAATTCGACTCGCCAATTCGATTGGCGGGAAATGTAACCATATCTTCCTAGACCCGTTGGAACTGTTCAAGGATACTCCGTCAGCAGGCCTATTGAATATTTTTATTGACATTTTAGGTGTTTCGATGTTTAGAGATGGTTTTATTTTGGTTTGCAGGTAAACGACTTCTTGTCGGGGAAAGCTCCATTGAACCTAACGATGCGTTTAGGCGATCATATGATGCTGATCCAACTACAACTGTCGACTGTCATCCCTACCACCAGCTCCGGCACGAAGCGTTCCCTCTCAAAACCCAGCTCGAGCTCGGCCACTAAGAGCATCAAACTCCACCACAATAAATCCACCAAACTGATATCGATCGTGAACGATGAATCGCTGCTGAGTTCATCGTCGATCCTCGCCGCAGCCGGGACGAACCTATCGACGTCGATCGTGAATCAACTTGCCAACCGATCCTCCAGCAACTCGGGTGGCCTAACCGAGGTTACCGAACTCGTGGATCCAGACGGATTCGCCCCCTCTCCTGTCTCAACAGCGCATTGCAATCCTACGAGTGCTGAAAAGTCCCTGAGCAAGCGAAATGTTGGTACCCGTGGCAGTAGTCAAAACGAATCTAATAGTAGTGTAAAAATTAGTGATAGTGATAGTGGTAGCGTAAGTGACGCCAACAGTTTTTCTAGTAGAAGTATAAGCAGTATCTTGGCTGAGGCTCTCACTGAATCGTTAAGTTCGTCGGTTTTGCAACCGTGCGTCTCTTGTCCAGTATATTCGGATCCATCCATCTCACCTTCATTCTCCGTTAGTTCCGATGCTCGTTCGCCTGCCTCCCCGATCAGTTGTCCCGATGCGTCTACCTCGAACATAAGCTCCCGCGGTTTTCCCAGTGATGTCAGACCTAGCTCCCCAGGTTCGCTCCCCTCACCGTGCTCTTCGACCACGACGTCCCCGTCGTCGACTCCTACAAACCCTGCGTCCCCGGGGTCTTCGACTTCCTCCCCGTCATCGTCTCCCTCTTTGACGTTGGCTTCATCGTCGTCGTCGTCGTCGTCGTCAACTTCGTCTTCGTCTTCGTGCAGGTGTTATCCCTCCTCCTCGTCCGCCGCTTCGCCGAGGCCCACACTGGACACTCGGGCTTTAGTTGAAGCCTCAAGGAATCTAACGCAAACGCTAAAACAGCTGTCTTCAGAAGTTCTAACCTCGAAACCGGATCCTGCGGCGGTAAGTTATCATTAGTAGGTCAGTGCGCTAAGCGACACCAAGCTTTTCTCTTCAATTTTTACCCCCTTCCCCTCCCCCCTGCAACGAGGCAAATCCCCCTCCTCTATGGAGCAGGTCCAGGTCATCAGAGGCATATACGTCCCCAAGAAAAGATCTACCAACGTCACAGACTTGGGGGTACTGGATGCGCTCCGCGGGATCTTACATTCGGGCGCCAATGTTAAAATGAGCTTGAAAGGGGGAGAAAAACTAAAATGTTTTCTCAATTTTAGGATTCTTTGTTTAATTACAAAAGATGGAAGTCATGAGATCACAAAAGAACTGTAGGAAGAATGTCAACTCGTTAGCCAAGTTTGTGAGAATTCTAGGTTCCGGTTCTCAGAATAATAATAATAATTCACGATATATTCCTGGCAATGAAATCAAATAAAGGGAAGTCGAAATGTTTCTAACTAACGTGCACTTCGAGGCTTTGGATCATACGCTAAGAAATTTATAACAATCGACGATAAGATCCTGGAAATGAAATAAAAATGATAGGGAAGCCGAAATGCTATTCACTAACGTGCACCTCGAGGCTTGAAATCCCAGGATACATGTGAGAGGAAGAGAGGAGCTGGGCGAGATGCGACTCACTAACGTGCACCTTAGCACGGAGGAATCGTAAAGATGAAAGTGAGTGGATAGAGAGCTGGACTAGATGGTACTCACTAACGTGTACCTAAAGTCTAGAGGGATTGAGAAAAGATGAGAAGGGAGAGAATGACAGGTGACCCTCTAGAAAGGAGAGGATGTAGAACAATATTTGGCTCTTAAGGCCACCAAATCGCTTTCAAGCCCTGTGAGTGAAATCTTCACATTTGTACTTAAAATTTCGATACATAGCATATACATTTTGACCAAATAGTTGCACATTTCAGCTTGGAAAAATTTTACCCAGGCGTTCCAATATTTAAAAGGGGTACGTTCAAAACGGGCCATTTGGGGCTCGGGGCGGATACCTTTGAGACTTGCCCTATTAAACCTCCAATCGTCCACCCAATCGTGAAGTAAGTTGAGGAATTGCAGGGTGAGCCCAAGAACTGCCTTTTTTATACCCCTTCTTGTATCAGAATTTGAATTTCTCGAGTTCCACCCTTCTCAGATGTACTTTTTGCGGCCAGATTTGGATTCCTCGTTAAAAATTAGTTTTGAACCGAGTACATTTCATGCTCATGCATTATTTGTGAAGATCTATACAGGGTGTTAGAAAAGTCCCCTCCCCCCCCCATCTAACTTTTTACCTAATTGAGATAGAGATTTGAAACTTGGAGGATGTTCCTAGGTCAAAAGGAGCTACTTTTTGGCCCCCCTAAAATTTTGGGGGGCCCCCCTCTGAGGGGTAACGGACCCCAACTTTTTTTCAAATGGGAAGACCCCCTTTGTGATACCTCGTTCGAAAAAGCATAAAAAAAGAAATTTTTTCGCGGGAACCCGAAGTCATTATATTAAGCCGTCTCAAAATGGCGGCCGGTTTCAGGTTAGAATGGCCGAAAATTGGCATCTCGGCTATTTGCACATGGATTTGTTTGAAACTCGGTACCTTAGGGTATTTTCGCACGAAAAAAACGACTTTGACGTTAGATTTTAAAAAAAAAAAAACCCTAATTTTTCAAAATGGCGGCCGGTTCAGGTCCAAAATGGCCGAAAATTGACAAACTTGATTTTTTGCCGATGGATTCGCCTGAAACTTGATATCTGGGGGTATTTTTGGCACGAGAAAAACGAATTTGACGTTACAACTCAGGTTTGTCACTTTTCGGCCATATTGGACCTTAATCGGCCGCCATTTTGAAAAATTAGGGTTTTTTTTAAAAAATCTAACGTCAAATTTGTTTTTCTCGTGCGAAAATACCCTCAGATACCGAGTTTCAAACAAATCCATGTGCAAGTAGCCGAGATGCCAATTTTCGGCCATTTTAACCTGAAACCGGCCGCCATTTTGAGACGACTTAAGGTAATGACTTCGGGCTTGCGCGAAAAAATTTCTTTTTTTATGCTTTTTCGAACGAGGTATCACAAAGGGGGTCTCCCCATTTGAAAAAAAAGTTGGGATCCGTTACCCTTCCAAAGGGGGGCCCTCGAAAATTTTAGGGGGGCCAAAAAGTAGCTCCCTTTGACCTTCGAACATCCTCCAAGTTTCAAATCTCTATCTCAATTTGGTAAAAAGTTAGATGGGGGGGGGGAGGGGACTTTTCTAACACCCTGCATACCTACATTTTGCGATAAAAGGCGTCATTTCCACCGTTACCAGCGACTTTAATGAAAATCGCAAATGGGTCATTGCACTTCAACTGTGCCAGGCTCGGAACCCGACCCCCTCCGATGTGGCTGAAAATTGGTATACGTAAACATACCGTACTCAAAAATATGCGTATTCGATGTTTTAGAATCGTCCACGCCCAAAGCGTGCGAATACCGCCATTTTCCAGTTTATCGCTGGTAGCTTCGTGATTTAACTTGTTATGAATGCCACAATTGTCAAGAATTTAATTATTTTTTACTTCATTTAAATAACAATCTACAGTTTTGATCTCTTTAAAATGAATTTTGAAGATTTCAAACAGCTTCAAAACTCGGAGATTTTCACTTTTAATGCGAAAACCGCAAAGAGCCTCCCGAAAAAGAGGCTGATTTTGGCCCCTTTTTAGGTATTCGATTCGACCATCAGACCAAGGTTTAAATGGAAGCTTATATCAACAGAAAACTGAGGAAAAAATTTCAAGGTGAGTATAGGAACCGTTTTCGAGTTTGGGGGGGGGGGCAAAGGGGTCACAATCCGGCCTAATTTTTTGCTGTTCTCTTGTAGAATTGATGTATCGGCGGGGTTCTTATCATTGTTTACGCATGTGAAGCACATGGATTCCTACGTGTTTTTACTTGTAGAATCAATTTTTAACGTTGCCGAATCGATTATCTGATCAGTTAAATCGATTTTGAACGATTTTTCAAGGAAAATCGATGATGTTTATTTTCGATTCATGAATGAATAAGTGTACCTGAATAGACTGAAGCACACGTAACCCTATGTATTTTGACACGGAAAATTTATTTTTAACGTTGACAAGTCGATTTATCTATCTTCTGTATCGAATTTTTGCGATTTTTTACGGAAAATCGATGACTTTTCGGCATTTAAATCGGGTTTGCTCCATCCGAGATCGAAGATATGTACCCAACATGATTGGAGCACATCGACTCTTACGTATTTTTATACGTGGAATCGATCTATAACCTCGATAAGTCGATATAGCTATTGTATTGAATTTTTGCGATTTTTTGCGGAAAATCGATGGTTTATCGGGATTGAGATCGGTGTCCCTCCATCCAAGATCGGAGAAATGTACCCTTTATGATTGGAGCACATCAGTTCTTACGTAGGTATTTCTACACGTAGAATCAATTTTAAACGTCGACGAGTCGATATATCGATCTGACATACACAACTCTTGCGATTTTTTACGGATATTCGATGGTTCTTTTGGATCGGCATTGGAAAAATCTACCAGACATGACTGGAGCACATCGATTCGTTTGTGATTATTCTCGCAAAATCAATTTTTGAAGTCGACGAGTCGATATATTGACTGGTCATATTGACTTCTTGTGATTTTTATGGAAAATCGATTTTTTGATCAGGAATGAAATTGGTTACTTACGGTCCGAGGGTGGAGATATGCACCTGACATGGTCGAAGCACGCCGTTTCCACGTACTTTAACACGTAGAATCATTTTTAAGGTTGACGAGTCGGTTTGGCGATCTGACAAATCAATTTTTTGTGATTTACGAAAATCCGATGGTTTCTTGAAGTTGAACTAATTTTGATTTTAATCAAAATGGGAATGAAGGAATGCACCCGACACGGCTACATTTTCTGTTAATCCGACGGAATCAAATCCATTGACACCAGAGTGAATGAGTGAATGAATGACTTCACTGAAATGATTTAAGAAGATTCATACACATATCAAATTACTTTGTTATGGAACAGTATGAGAATTCCGGATTAGCATATTTGAAGGAAGATGAAACTGTCCCTCGAGTTGGCCGAGTATGACCAATCGATAAATCGACTCGTCAACCTGAAAAATGATTCTACTCTCTGTAAATTCGCACTCTCGGCACGGAAAAGGTTCAAACTCGTCCTCTTACCCGGTAATTTTCCTCCCTACCTCTCTCGTCTGTTTTGCGTTGACACCTCAGATGTCAGACACCAAACATGTAACATTTTAAACGCAACAGACATGTAAAACACACCAAACGCAAAGAACACATTAAGAAAACCAAAAACACAAAACTCATAAAAAAAAACTGAGCACCGCTGGCGTAACAAACGCATCAAACTCATACAATGTAACCAACACATAAACCACACAAAACACATCAAAAACACCAAACATAACAAACACATCAAACACGACAAACTCAAAAAACAAAATAAATAAATGAAACATCGAACACGGCAAACTCAAGTAACACAATAAAGAAATTAAACACGTCAAACACACCAAAAACAACCCGTTTCATTCTTTTTCCCCCGGTTTATTTCTTTACATATTGTTTTCATCCTAATCCTTCCCGTTTCGTCCTGATACGTACTTGGCTCTTCATTCCGATTTACCCCGGTTCATCTCGTTACAACACAATGTACCCCATTTTATACAGATTCGTCCTGATTATACACATTTTATTCTGATTCGTCCCATTTTATCCAGGTAATTATAGATGTATCCTTTTGTACCCTGATCTGCACCAAGACACTTTGTCTTAAACCATTACATCCAGATTTATCCCGTTTTATCCCGATCCGTCTCGTTTTGTACCGATGCACCTCAGTATACTCCGCTTTTTCCGAAAACCATGATCATGTTGAAAGGAAGTTAAGCCAAGGCAATGACGTTTTCTGATTGGATAATTGATCGACCAATCAGAACATTGATAGGTACGTAGGTAGGGTAT